GGAGAGCGGCTCGGAAGAGAGGGGCGGGGTCAGCAGAGCTCATTAACATTTAAAGGAAAATGCTACAAATCTGCTTGCTCTGAAAAGAGCTGTTTTTGACAGGGTAAAAGTGTTTTTTACACTACCATTGTGAAATTTTAACCAAACTATGTTACAGACTTTTCATTAAGACCCTAAAGAATCATATCAACTTGTGGAAAATGGGCATCCTATGACCCCTTTAAACTTGAGTAAACTTTTTTTTTTTTGCAGAATACAACCTTTTTTGCTGTGTTTTAATGAGCAATTATCTAGTATGTACTGAACAAAATCTAACAAAATGAGCAAGTTTGTCTCCTGTTAGATAACTGGCTGCTATTCTCTGTTACGAACGTTTGTAATGCCAGTGCCATTACTTCACATTGACCATATCATGGAGGAACTTTCAATAAGAATTATTCTGCAAGTTAACCCACTGGATATATGCATCTACACAAACCTCTCGTCTTTGAACACTATGAAATAAGGTGCACCGAGCGAGTCTTAATTTAATGGAATTTCATTCAAATCACAATTATTACATTTGACATTTTTCATAATAATAATCCATACAAGTTCTGTAAGGCTTTGAGAGTGTGTGGCATGACGTGTGAGTCCATAAAGCCCACTTCTGACAAATTTCACAGAAGTTTGGGTTCAGCATGACCCGACATCTGAACGTGTAAAGAAGTTATACACTAGAGCAGGGGTCAGAAAGCATCGTCCTGAAGAGTTACAGGTCTGGAAACTATTTTCATGAGAGAAAATCATTGATATTTAATTGTTATTTAATGTTAACATACAAACAATACCATTCAAACATTTGGGGTTGGTAACATTTTTTAATGTTCTTGAAAAAAGTCTCTTATGCTCACTAAGGCTGCATTTCTTTGATCAAACATACAGTAAAACATTAATATTGTGAATGTGAAATTAAATTACAATCTTAAATAACTGTTTGCTATTGGAATATATTTCAAAGCTGAATTTTCAGCATCATTACTCCAGTCTTCAGTGTCACATGATCTTCCAGAAAGCATGCTGCTCAAGAAACATTTCTTATTATCAATGTTGAAAATAGTTGTATTTTGTGGAAACTGTGATACATTTTTATGATGCTTTAGAAAGTTCAAAGAACAGCATTTATTTGAAAAATAAACCTTTTGTTACATTAAAAATGGCTTTACTGTCACTTTTGATCAATTTAGTGCCTCCCTGCTGAATAAAAGTATTAATTTATTTTAAATAAATCTTGCTGATCCCCAAACTTTTGAACAGTAGTGTGTGTATACATGTAAATATATTACAGGTATTCCCCAAAAATAAAAGTCTAATCTGTATAAATAATCAATAAATGTCAGTGCATTAGATAACAAAAGATCAAACCAAGCAGCATCTACAAACAAATGATGCTGGAGCTTAAATGGAAAATGCCATTTATTCCTGTGATGCACAGCTGAGTTTTCAGCATCATTACTCCAGTCTTTAGTGTCACGTGATCCTTCTAACGTTTGACAACGAGATATACTGTATAAATACAGTCATTTTTAGATAGAGGGTTTCGGGGTTGTCCACAGCTCTGGGTGGAGGTAACGGCTGAAACCCTTGATCTAATGCACTGACATCTGGACATTTTTATATGTAGCAAATATAAGTGTCCAAAAACTTCTTGGGGCCACTGTATGTATGTTAAATCTTCTTCAGGGGACAGTTTCCCTCAGTTTCTCTCTCTGTTACTGAAAGAGAGAACTTAAAGGGATAGTTCACCCAAAAATTTGATGTTTATCTGCTTACCCCCAGGGCATCCAGGATGTAGGTGACTTTGTTTCTTCAGTAGAACACAAAGTGTTATGACTAGGTAAAAAAAATAAACTTTTTTCCGCTGAACACAATATATTTTGTTTTTGAGCAACATACAGAATAGTATGAACAGTAGAATTTGTTTACATTTTCTTTTTGATTTGTTTCCTAAAAAGAAGAAAAATAAAGACCGACATCTTTATTTAACCTAAATCTGTAATTAGTTATTTAATTTTAGTTATATAATTCAAATACATGCTATAAACAAAGCAGCGCTGCGCTGAAACACTGCTTTAATATGAACTATAGAGACGAGATGAAAAGAAAATGCCACGTAAACTTTTCTGAAGTTCCCCTCAGAAACACATTCATATAAACCCCCAAATCAATATTGAGGATTTTCTTCCAATAGTTCATGCATCATGAACAGTGAGTGATCTGCCTGCTACAATATTTTTCTCTGTGCATCCGTCTTCAACGTCTCTGGGCTGTGTTAATGGACGTTTACAGACTTCATATTTTCACATAAATGACATTTTGGAAAACGATTGCATTGCAACGCAGTTTGTGCAAGTCCA